TTGAGGTATGCCCAGAAAAATCGTTTATAGCCCCGGCCTGTATTAGAGACCGGCCATTATTTACCTCCTCTGACAGCAAGACCGGCCAATATTAGAGACCCGGCCGCTATTGGAATACAGGCCAATATTAGAGAATTTACGGTATACACACACACACACACACACAGTATATACATATAAGCATCAGTGGTACCTGGTACCAAAATACAATTTAATGTAGTTGCACTTGTTTTTTGTAATGGAAGGTTGAATTGAAAACTGAATTGTAGTTTGTCCTCCAGGGTCATGCTGGTGCCTATCCTCAGCAAACTATGGGCAAAAAGGTGTGGTACATCCTGGAGCAGTTGCCAGTTCATGGCATGGTGTAATGAAAGCAATTTAAACATAGATACATACTTTACACTTAAAGTTACTACGTCATCCTCCACTTCAAAAAAGAAAAACAGCAGTTTTTTTTTTCTTTCTTTTTTAAATGCAGTATACAGTAAAGCACGATTAATCCATGGCAAAAGTTGCACAAAATAAGCATCTTTTAGTTTAGTCCAAGCCAAAAAATATACCTGAAATGACATTCTCTTCAGGGATACTCTTTCAAATACTACTACATTATGCACGACTTACCATATCCAGCTGGCAGGGTAATTAGCCAAGTGCAGTCCAGGTTTCCAGGGTAGTTGCCAGGAAAGCCTGGACTCAGGATCACACTACTCATCTCAGAAAGGACCCCACCGCAGCGTGCTGGCAATGAGTACACATAAAATATGTTGTTAACAAATGTACATCAGAGATTACAGCTTTGATCTTTGACAAATTTGAACATAAATACGCTTCTAAAGGGTTTTTATAGTACTGAAAACTGTACTTTATAACTAGCTTTAACAAAAACTAGTAGAAAAATATAGTACCTTTTTTATTTTGTCCCAATGCATAAACATTTAATTTAAAAGGGAATCTCTGACAAAAGCTTTTAGAAAATTTTGAATAATTCGAAAAACACAAACATGAACTTAAAAAAAAGTTAGGGATTTTGACTTTCTTAGAAATAAATTTGGTTGATGCTTGTATCCATCTTTACCTACAGATGACTCAAATCACATCAGTGGAGATTTTTTTTTTTGGCTTTGTAAACTTTAATCAAGCTAACATAGAATAAAAATAAATATTTTATTAGTATTCCTTCATATATCGAAGAACATTGAATAATAATGTCTAAAATACAGATCTAAAATGGGTAGGCTCTCAAGCAGATTTCCTTTATCTGACGTAGTTGTACGAAAGTCTCAAACCTAAATATTATTTCAATGACATTACTATATAATATTCTATAAAGATTGAGAGACTTTTTTTTCATATCCAATACAAAAATCAATAATTTAACTATTTAGTCCACAGTTAAATGTTTTCAAGTGTCTGTGCAATACCTATACAGAGAGGTGGTGGGTAGTTCCAACGACGGACAGTCCCAGGCATGCAGGAAATGTGTGAATGGCCCTAAAAAGGATTTATCACATCTTAGATGCAATAAATTCAGTAACAGTTCATTATACATTATTCTTTTTTCTGAATAAACATAAATCCAGGCAAAAAAGAGATGATTCCTCAGTATTAAAACATAATGTTCTCTTCTCATCCATTGTATTTTTTTAGCCAATCCACTGAACTGTGATTGACAAACTTTTGCTTTTGCTTGGGCGGTAATTTTGGATAGCTTCTGCTTTGCCGATTGGCTTTTCAGTCAATGTTGGTAGAGAGCTAATTTCGCCATGTATTATTCTCTTACCAGCTTCATTAAGCTTTTTTTAAAATGTCTTTTGTTGTTGTTTTGGTTTGATAACATACATTGCACATGAATATTTTTCTCTGGAACACAGAAACTGCCTGTGCATCATGGTTCTTACTTAGTATGATGGTAATCTAGTTTATTCTAAAGAACTAAGCATCTGGAGGTCCACAGTTCTCTTTTTGAAGTATTGGCATTTTTTTATTTATTATTTTATTTTCCTTTAAGTGAACAGGTTTGCCCTGGTCAATCCAGCTGTTGTGAATTAACTTATACAGAGCTTAAAAAAAACATGAAAATTATAAACAAATCTCATCATTCTTACATCAAAATCTTTTATGATGTGAGAATGATGAGATTAAAAATTGACCCAAGGCCTCACATATTAACTTTTCAGGTCAATTTACAGCACTTAGTGGACATTGATGGTCCCTACGGGATGCCCTTCTCAAGAACAGGTATAACCCTCTCTAACTTGAGAGGGTTATACCTGTCACTAATGGGTCATGTGACCAAGAGAATCCCCTTACTCCAGCCTGAACTCCACTTAAACATTATAGCCAACCCTAAAATGTTGTAAAAAAAAAAAAAAAAAGGTATATGTGATTAATCTAGAAGGCTGTGTGTGTATAAATAATCTTCTCAGTCTACTAGTCCAAAGTGGTCAGCTATCAGATTCCAAATGATTGTTTTGTTTTGTAACAGTGCAGTGTTGCCAGTAGCTTTTGAGGGGCACTTAACCTGAAAGTTACAAGTCTGGCATCTCTAGTGGCTGAAAACTACACAGTGATGAGACAGTGAAAATATTATTAACATTTTCATACTTTGTATAAGAATCTAGTATTACTGTAACTGTGTACTGAAGACATGATGTAGACATTTGTATATATTTCCCATTGTATTCATACAGTAATGAGAGGAGAGATTTGATTAAACCTGATTTGGATAACAATGCACTTTCACTAAAATGAATAATTGAAGTGTTTGTAAAACATAATAATCAGTAATGCATACCATAAAGGTAGTCTTTTGTGTGTTTAGTGAAATATTACCTGTAGTGTGTAACCAGGCTCACAGGTGAATGCTACCACTTCATTCACCATATATCTCTCTCCTGTTTTTATGCCGTTTGCTGGGATCATTGGTTCTGGGCAAGTGGTGAGCCCAACAGCTAAAACAAAGAAGAAAGAAAGCCATATTTGTAAAAAAAAAAAAAATAAAAAATGAAGGAAGGAATTTTGTTGGCCTTGCTTGTGTGACTGGTTATGTTGGTTTATCGTCTGCTTTCCTACTAGTGTATGTCCACCTGTACCCACACACAAAACTGTGCAAAGACACACCTACCCGGTTGGCATGTACCATCATTGAATGACATTTGTGACTGTGAATGCATGAGTAATTTTCAAATTAGTCTGCTTGAGGTGGGGGGGGGGGGTGGTTGGGGGTAAGGTGGACTTTATTTATCTTTTAAAGGGAGTGTCAGTCGGAAAGCTGCAAAGCGTTTAACATACATATACTCAGAAAAACACACTTAGTGTATTATGAGGCAGAGCATCAGTGGGCTGTCATGACAACTGATCAATGAAACTCTTCCATTTGGCAGACCATCTTTCTCTCCCTTCTGCCAACAGAGAGTACATCCATTTCCTGACTATGCAAGAGTGGTTATGCTCTGTAAACCGCTGACAGTACCACAAAACATCCCAACAGGACTACTAGATTATGCTAGACACTGTCAGCGGTTAAGCCTAACTGACTGGATGTACTGCACTTCTGTTTTAGCTTATGAGAGGACAGTCGAGCAATAAAGAGATTTCCCTTCATCCTTTCAAACTTAGGCCCCTTTGGTCAGCTTAAAATGTGATCAACATTATTGCTAGAATTATTTACGATTAAACATTCACAGTAATCTGTGTTACCGAAGAAAGATAATATAAAATTATAATAGATATAATTGATGTGGACTGTAATGACATGTCAGAGTGAACCAGTGCTTTTAAAAGCAACACCACGCAGTACCATCACTTACAAATTTTATCCTTCAGCATATCGGGACGTTTTTACACGGTGTGTACCGGTTTTATACAATATTCTGTGACCTATATTTTATGGTGTGACCCAAAAGGGGGCTGCTGCAGATTCTCCTCACAGGTCTATATATTAACCCTAACTTTACATGATTCATACCTAAACCTATAGAGTCACGCGACTAATATACTAAAATATGATGTAGCTCTGCCTTGGGTCACAATATATGTTTCGTCACAAAATACGGTCTAACACCGGGGCGTGTACCTGCATCCCTGCCCCAGTCCTGTCCCAGTCCACAGTTTATAACTTCTTGCAAAATGTTGATAAAAAAAAATGCAAATCACTTGCCATACATTTATGTTTCTGTAGGTGTAGGAAAAGCAGAGGAAATAAATCACCAGAGCTTTGATGTTTACCCAGGGTCCAAATGGACTCTATGAACTGGAGCAGAGTTGAAAGATAACAGCAGCACTCAAAACAGTCTTTCAAAGGAAACAGAGTTCTGACTGCAAGCAAGCAGTAGTGTATTCAGAGGAGAACCTGACAAAAAGGCTTAGATAAAAGGTAAGATCAGTGGCAGTGCTAGCCATTTAGAGGCCTCGAGAACAAATACTTCGTGGTGCCCCTGACCTGGAAAATGAGAACAACAAGAAGAGGTGAACAGGAGCTGGGATAAAGTGGAGACGTTTCTCAACTTTTAAAAAACAACTGAAGTAGAAAAACAAATAACATTCAAACTACAGTACAGATGAGGTCTACAATGTATGGAAGCAGGTGTGTTTATCATTATTAAATTAATGCCGCTTAAAAGAAGTAAAATTAATGTGCATTTTTTAATCAGAAAGGTCTGTTCCAAGATTTTATAAATATTGGAAATAACTATGCTGTGTGAAGTGTTTTCTTATTGTATAACTTTTTGCAGGTTTATGTCTGATAATGTGTTTAGTCCTTTTCTTTTTGGTAATGTGTTATATTATGATTAGCTGCAATAAACTATCTATCTATCTATCTATCTATCTATCTATCTATCTATCTATCTATCTATCTATCTATCTATCTATCTATCNATCTATCTATCTATCTATCTATCTATCTATCTATCTATCTATCTATCTATCTATCTATCTATCTATCTATCTATCTATCTATCTATCCATCTATCTATCTATCTATCTATCTATCCATCTATCTATCTATCTATCTTTAATGATCTAAGCTAAGCTATTCATTATTTTAGGATACTCAAATGAGTCAAAAGCTATACAAGACCCTTAAAGAACCTTAAAGAACCTTAAACCCAGCTAACCCCGCAACTATACCAACAACAAAAGCAGGCGACCCTCTATACCTGACCAGGCAAACACAAAAGCATAGTTCTGAGTTACTTTCCTCTTTGAGGCAGATGGACAGATGAAAAAGCAAAACGCAGAACAATTTGTTATGCTGGCTGTGTTAACACTAGGACATTTAACAGGGCTGCTGCTTAAAAAACTTCATGGACCAGAGTCTTGCATAAAAATATGTTTTGTACAGGCCAGACCTGTAGATGTGCTTGAAAGATTTCATTCTACTGGTAGTAGAATTAATTAAACTTAACAAAAGTAATAATACATAAAAAATATAGAAAGTTGAAATCATAACATGGATTTTTAATATAAATATATATATACGTGCATATATACATAGTAATAAATAAAACTAGTAAACAAGCCTGATGGAGCTCCTGAACGTAAGTTTTGTTGAGCAACACTTTGAGGCAATCATTGTAATCAGGTGTTTCCTGAAATGTTTAGGAAATGAGTCAGACTCCTGCTTCTGTTTACAGGTGTGTTGGTTCACTTTTAATAAGCAAGGCACTTTAATTTGTCTGGAGAGTTTGTCTAAAAAAAAAAATTTTTTAAGCAAAATTCAAAAAAAAATTTTTATTTGACTAAATTATCATTTCATACTCGTATATGGATCTTATTCCTGATAAGAAGCTTTTGTTTTATATTTCAAAACGAGAAGGTGTCTCTGTCTTACCAGTTTTTCATGATTTTAGTGTTTTGGAAGTCAAAATAAAAGCAACTGCTATAGACCAGGCACTAGCTCTAAATTAGCTCTAAAACTATATTGGCAATAAAAACAAAACAAGAAATATTAGCATAGTTGCTTTATCATAGTTGTTGCACCATTTCTATTGTCAAACTATCTACAAATCCTTGAACTATTAGTATTGTTCTGGTAATAAAAGCTAAGTGCCAAAGCTCAGAGCAATTCCATTCAAAAGTACAGTGAAGCATAAACAAAAACACAGTCTTCCAGGTTTTTATTCGTGGTAATGTCATGTCAGCTCACACAGAGATGCCAAAAACACTGATGTGAATTTGTGCACCCACCTATAAATCTCCATTCCACAAAATCCTTATTCGTACACACTAAAACTCACATATTCTCACAGAAGGGGACATGCTCATTGATCTAGAAGTGATTCTAAGCTAAAACAAGTACAAAGGACTGAAATGCACATCTATGCTCTGACAGGTTTGTAAATATATGATGGTAATATAAGTGTCCATACCTGTTTTTGTCTGGCTAGTTTTATTCCTATGTGCTTTCCTTTTTCCTTGGATTTATGTACATGCCTGACACAGGCAGAGAAACTTTGTGTTTGTGTCTGAGCCAACAGGAATTTGTTTGTGTCCCTGCAGGTGAGCGTTGTGTGTGTGTGTGTGTGTGCTAAACTGCAACGCCCAGCATGTGTGTGTGCTCTCGGGCAATACCAGTTCAGGTCACTGACTCTCGTTATTTGATGTCAAAGTTTTGGCAGCAGTATTGTGTGTTTCTGTTTGTGTGTGTTTCTGGTTAGGAAGGACACACTTTATAGGTCCTTTGGAGTTTTATATAATCAAGTATTTTCCCCTTTGAATCCAATCAATTCCCATTAACTTACTCTTGTATTCCAGGTGAAAGCCTGCTGCCACCACACTGATGTCACTTTGAAAGTGCAAGAGTAGCTGATTGGATGTTGAGTTGAGGAGAGCAGGAGCCGTTGTTCCTGTACAACATAAAACACACAGAGACACAATTAGAGCAATGTACAACCTGGGTTTGCCTGTACTGCTTACCGTCTACATATTGATTTGAATAAAAGGAAACCAATAATAAGCATTAACTCAAGTCATTGTAAAACCAAGCTATGCATTTTTGACCGTATTTTACAGATTTTTAAGAAATTTTCATATTGTATATCTTGTCTTGAACTGTTGTTTATAAAGCATTAACTGTTCAAAATACATTTTTAAGTTGCTTCTTAATTATGGACAATGTAAATCAGCCAGGTAAGAAGAGACCACCTTTCTTTGCATTTTGGAGATAAGAACTAAACAAGAGAAAGAATTTTCATTATGCCCTTTATTTGTTTGAATTGCGTCATATACATTTTTCCTCATTTTCATATTTCATACAATTATCCTTGTATATATTGTTTTCAGTTTCTTTTTGATAATACGAGTGTTACATAAGACTCCCCTACAACTTCAATTACCATGTGTACAGTATGAATGATGTTATACAAATAAATTTACAATAGATATGGTGTTCTTCATAATCAACCTAGGTTAAAAAAGTTACATTTCAAAAACAAACTTAATACAGTTTCTCAATCTACTATGTAAAGTGCAATCAACTGCAGTGATGCTTATGAATGACTGTATGAGATATTGAGAATGGTGTAAAATAATAAATAAAAAAAAGACCAAAAAATGGAATTCATAATGACCAAAATTCTATGGATTGTTCCTTAGGATGAGGTGCACTGCTGGTAAAAATGTTATTAAAATCCGTTCTTAACTGTTCAAGTTATCTTGTACACAGACAGACAAACACACACAAACTCTTCTGAAAACTCCTTGGTGGAGGTAAAAAAAAAGAAAAAAAAAAAAAAAAGTAAGCTGAATTCATCATAAAGAATTTAAGGTATGTTGGATGCAGAAGCTCTGATCAATCAGCAAGATCATTGTATCCTTTTCACCTGTTTTTACTGGTTTATCACTGTTACATTTGATTAGGGCTTGGATACATCTCTAGAAGAAAAGCCTTCATGGAAAATGCTGTCTGTTATGTTAAAATAAAAAAAGAATGTAGCTTTTTGAAATCTAATCCAATAAATTTTTTCAGTAAAGCTGTTTTACCAATAAATGACAAGTTGAAAGTCTAAACTTGGGAATATTTACTCTAATATTGTGGTAGTATGAAACTGTTGTAATTTTTTCTGTTGCAAAAATCGTATTATGACTCATGCATGGCATACATCCTTTATTTAAAAAAAGGTAAATGTAGACATATTTGAAATGATGCCTATAAAACATGAACAAGATTTCTTTAGCTACTGTATGAACAAGAAGCATTAGAGCATTCTTCAGGGAAACTGTATTATCTGGCCCTCTTAAGCTGCTCTGTGGTCAACCTTAGATCAGCATGGTTATAGTGGACAGCTCCCTGATGTGTCCTTTATAAAAGGGTACATTCATATGGGTGTACCAGTGTGTGTGTGTGTGCCCTATAGGCGGTATGTCTTATGTGTGATAGCTGTGTGACAGGTATTTGCTTAGGGCAGGGCACAGGGGAAATTCTGCAGGGAAATTGTAAAAGGTTAGTTCATACTTCATTAGTGACTGTCATGGTGGGGACTCTCCTTTTTTTTCCATTTTCCTCCATTCATGATCATTATTGTTAATTGTATTTTTTTTATTACACTAAGCCGTAAACAAATGTAGTTAAATAATGCTACAGCATCTGTCAGCGGGTCTCCTTTCTGGAAAAAATATGGTTCAACCAACATATTAGTTGTTTTTTTATTGCATCTTTGAAGTGTTATGTTAGCGATCTATCTGCATAAGTCTGGGGTGTCATACCTGAGAAGGATCCCAGTTTTGGAGCTGTCATGTCCCCTCCATCATATATTTCCAGAGAGTCCCAGTTATGCTCAGTTGCAAAGGTCATAACCTGGATCTAATAAGTAAAAAAGAACAAAACACGGTACAAAACAGCTTGCAAGTGTATAAGAATCCTAACTGGTAAGTTAAAGGGTGACAAACAGTTGTATTTAACAAAAGTGAGTTTGCTTTCTGTTCAGCATTAATTTGTCAGATAAAAGGTATCTGTTGAAAATAAAAACGTTTATGCATGTATTAAACTTACTTTTTTCAAACCCACAATTCCTTTTTTATGGTATGATGTAATACTATAATCTTTATCGTGGTGTTAATTAGTTTTAAATTAAAAATATTCAAAACACCAGAGTTTAAGTCTTAAAAACCTCAATCTATGCATTTCACTTAGTGAAATAAGATATAGACATTAATGAAAACCTCAATACATTCTATATGTCTCTGATACATAATTGCATACAAATGGGTATACCTGTATTCCTGCTCCTTCACTGACATGGATCCTCCACAGACAGTTTAGGCTATTGGGGTAAGGTTCAGGATAGCCAGGAGACAATATGGTACCTCGACGTTCAGTCAAATTGCCACTGCAGGGAACTTAAATGGAAATATAGAATATTACTTTCCTCACATAATGTATCAACTAAGTAGTTATTAATTACGACAGCTTAATGTAATATGTCCTTGAACGACAGGAGAAAAAATGCAAAGGATGTTTTCAGGGAAGCATAAATAAATGGGCATCATTTAGATGTTTGCTAAATTCCAGCTAATGCTGCGTTCACACCGGGGGCAGCTGGCGCGACAGAAGCAGCGAGTTTACATGCAAAGTCAATGGTTGACGCGCGTCAAGGCGCAGCAAAAAGTCCCGCGGCGCGTTTCGAGCAGCAAGCGCAGCGCGTCTGAGCAGCTGAAGTAGCGCGTCGGGCGCGTTTTGGCATCTGACGCGCGTGACGCGCCGCAAACGCGTTGCTGCGCGAGATGGAAAAATTGAATTTTTGCCGCGTCAACCAATCAGAGAAGCTGATCTGGGAGCTGGCTGGGAGAGAGACACAGCGCTGATGACACAGACCGCTCTGATTACTCCTCTTAAACAGTTTATTAACGCATAATTAACTTAAAATATATACATCTGCCGGCAGAATATGTTGGCTTTTATTATTCTGGTGCCTGCAGATCGGATTATTTAGATGAAAAACACCTACCAGCCGCCGCGGTAAACCGCGAGGAGGCGACCCGTCCAGAGGCTACTGTTGAAGGGATTCTTTCTGTCGGCGCACCGTCGGTATGTGGGGGTCTGAGCAGCTCCGACAGAAATAACATTGGGAGACAGGATTGTAATCTGGATGAACTGACTGCACTGATTAAGTTTTCAGGTGTATTTTCTCACTTAAAAACATATTAAAACTACTTTATTCCCACTGATCACAGCAAATATAGCTGCAAGGCAGAGAAAGGATAGTGAAGCTCCGCCCAACGCACGTCAGAGCCACTTTTGCACCGCGCAGCCAGAGCAGCAAAGCTGCTTCAGCCACGGGTCAGAACTAACTGGTACAAGCAGCAAAAATGAAGCAGCAGACGCGATTTTGCTGCTTTTGCAGCGTCCGGTCTGAACGTAGCATTAGCAGCAAAGATTACATTTTGACACTGAGTGACACAGTAACCTAATTGCCTATTACAATATGATTAAACAGGAGGCAAAACTACCAAAGGGAGTCTTTTCCCATTATATTTTTGCTCCTAGAGATGGAGTTTGTCTTGAGACTTCAAACCTGCTCATTCTTATTGCTACCATGTCATCCCTTCTCTAGGGAATGATGTAAATATAACATTCGAGCATCTTGTTTATAAATGTAAAACATCATATAACTAAAGTATACAGTATAATTAGAAATAATTTAGCATAGAGACAAAATTTAAAATTTTCAAAACATCCCGTAAAGAACCAAAAGCCTCCTTTTTTAAATCTTTTTATTACTGATGTATCAAATACAGGCTCCTGGAAAAGCAAAAGGCTGCACAGACTTACCTCTGACAAAAATAATATTGATGTTCACAAATTAACCTTGGAAATCAAATATTGAAATATTTTAGCATACATTGTGATTTAAGGAAGGAATAGTTTATAATATATATAATTTACATTTAAATTCAAATGTAAATATTTGCTGACAGGTCAAGGTTCTGACAGATTCTTGATGTAAGTTTTCAAACTGTTTTTTTGTAAAATTTGTGCCTTATCTATTTATTTAATCGAAACATTGTGAGGAAATTTATTTTGGAGAAACATTGATTTGCTGATTACATTCTTAAAGCACCATAGCTTTGATGATCTTACCTATGCAAGTGGGTGTTGATGCATTCCACTGTGCTAAGGCACCCGGTACAGCCTGGCATCGAATTGCACTAGATCCTTTCAACAGGTAGCCAGGGCTGCACTCGAAACGGACAACAGAGCCTGCAGAGAACTCTGAGCCAATTCGCCTGCCATACCGAGGCTCTGGCACTGAGCTGCATTGACTATCACTTGTGCGAGGAACAGCTACAATGAGGAAAAAAGGTCAAGCTGCATTACAATGAAAGGAAGAAATCATCTAACTATCTATCTATGAAAATTATTTCAATAAATTAAATAAACACAACTGTACTTTTTTTTTAAATACTTTAGAAATACAATTTATATTTTATAAACGTAGAAATAATTACACTTAAAGTGAAACATTTCAAGCAACTGTGTCCAGGAAATACTGAAAAGGAAGCCAAAAAAATATACTTTCTAAAATGAAAGTTCAAGGAAAGTTGTTTCAAAGGATAGAAATTGAAAGTTGATTTAAAAAAATTTAAAAATAGAAAATTGATAAGAAGAAAAACGTCTTCATGAAAAGGGTTGCACAAGCAAAAAGGATAACAACAGCATTAAAAACATTGTAACGAAAAATCATTTAGAAAAATAAATCTTAAATTTCCAAGGCTGGATTCAGTGCATTATGAATCACACATATGCATCTAGGACATGGGCACTTTTTTGCATTTATAATGACACTTCTCAGTGCTCTTAAATCCTCCTTATCAGATGAAAGTAAATTTAATTTGAAAACCAAGGTACAGTGGTCTGAACAAAGAATGGAGACACACATAACACAAGGTGTTTGATGTAGAACTTCTTTTGATAAGTTGACAAGCTTTATGTAGATGCAAATTTTATTTCCAGCAAGATTTGACAACTGTCTAGATATCTGCTTTAATGGCAACAAAATAACTACCTTATTGTACCACGATGCAATGATGCAGTAGTTCACGGCAAATCCCTGGCCTAGTTCTGCGCTCTCTACTGCTAAATTCATAGACAAATATTTGATTTACTTTTTCATAGTTTACATTTGCAATGACCAATAAAGTTTATTATCTTCATTATCTATGCCCTTTTCCTATATAATATTTCCTTCATCGAAAGAAGATAATTTGGGGTTTTCTTTGGCTGTAAGCCACAATCCAAAAATGTTCATAAGTGGAAAACACCTGAAATATAGTATTTCCAAATGATTTACTTAAACACAAAAATTTGTTTATTAATTTTAGTGATATGCATATGTATTTATATGAGAACAAGAATAATATTAATACAATTGTTAGGCTATAGATGAAGATATATCTACAACTCAGAAACAGATGCAGAGTTACCTTGGTAGACGAAGTGAAAGCCTTTAGCTGATTGGCCACTCTTAGCATTGAATCGGAGCATGATTTGATTAGATGTTGCCAATGGCAAAGTCTCTCCTGAAATAAATAAACATATGGAAACACAGTCTTGAGATAAAGGAAAAAGATAAAACCTAAGTGTTTCAACAGAAATTTTGTAGATGAAAAAAGTCGAAAATATACAACACTTTAATACAATCATCTGCGCACTCCCAGCAGCAGTTTCAGCCTATTTAATGATATTGTAACTATTTACTTAGTATGGCCCCCTGTCACTTTCATTGTGTCCTCAATAAGTCACCCAGGCTTCTAATAATATTTTTCTGAGGTCTGAATATGGCACAAAGCTTTAACCTTTAGTATGTTGGTAGAAAATTTATAATTGTTATCCGAAATTGCAGACCACATAGCAGAGAGCAAAGCCTTAAGGCATTATGCTCTTAAAACTATAAAAGTCTACAGAGGTCCTTAAAAACTATAATTTGTTGAATTAACCTTTTCAACTATAACAGTTTTTAACAAAGTAAAAGCAAGTTAAAAGAAACATGTTTATATTAACAATATCGTAAACATGCTCTCATTTAGTCGTATTAAAATCAGTTTTCTTCATAAATAAGTAGTTGTACTTAGCCTGCGTTCTCCCATCAGTAACTGTTTCTTCTACTGGTTTTCATCAGTTTTAATACAGACAGCTTTTACAAAGCTATGTAGATGTGAATTGGAGAGGTAAAACATATTTTAGGTTAAATTAGCTAAATGTCTTTTTTGGCTTACTGATTTTCCACCAGTAAAACCAGTGAGGGAGATGCAGCAAACACTTTGAAAAGTCTTGAGGGCACATATATAGGATCCATACTAAAAATTCCAACAATGGCATAGAGAAAAAAATAAATCTTATTTATACAAACCTGCATATACCTACTTGAATGGAATTTAATCTTATGAATAATGGCTGTAGCTCAATATTTGAGTACAACGTTCCGCCTCACATTCTGCTCTTTACACAGCCACATTTATAGCCCATTCATAGCCAGACCTTGGAAACAAGAGACTGCTTAGGTTCCCAGGGCAACTAAGGGACCCCTAGGAAAAATTAGCATCTATATTGATTTCTATATGGATATAGTAACAAACTCCCACTATTTCATAATAGAATTAAGAATTTCTTTAGTGATGCATGACATACCGCTATTAACATTGGAATCTGCCTGTGTTGGTCACTCTGAAACATGTCTGTATCGGTCCGACAAGTAAATCTGGCCCATTATTAGTAGCATATAGGGGAGCAGATTGGTCATGTGACCGTAATAATGATGTAGTGAATTATTGTGAGCTTATATATGAAGTAGAGAAGCAATGTAGTTGTTTTTATTGTCAAAAGTCTAGGGATATATCAAGAGCATAATATTTTAGAGTTGGGCAATAAATCAACATCAGTACACCTAATCATAAAAAAATATGTTAGATGAAATCTTTAAAATTCCAGTGAACTTGCAACCAGAAGCATATGGGGAAGAAAGGATTAAGACCCTTGACCTCCCACAGCCAAGCCAACCGAAGCAGGTTGCTGACCTATTTTAAGGCCAAAGGGCCCCCACATACATGTGCAGACATGGGAGGTGGACTTCTTGCAGACCAGTGCGCAAAGCTACATTTTTACACTCGTATAACAATTTGTCTCACTACACTGCTTGGCAGCAAAGTACTTCTCATTAGGAAGGAGTATTTATACGAAACTGTTAGAAATATGATACTGATACAAGGATCTTTAGACGATAGCTGGCGGCAACACACTGGTCAGAGGAGCCAGTCGTCGGGACCAGCAGTCTCAGCCACACCTTACTGACAGGTTTGAGATGAAATGGCGCAAGGTGCTCAGCTAGAATTTGTTTCTTTTGTTTTTGTGAAGCTACAGTATTAACCAAACTCATCCGATAATGCCAGGGATGTGTGGGAAATGAAGGCATTTGTCATGACAAATGTAGAAATAGGTGCGCTCACCTATGAAGGCGGAAATGTGGCTGCGGATAGTCATCTCAAGTATGTCAGGGTCTTAAAGGTCATGTCTAAATAGGGTTGTGGTTACAATTTAAGCATTTTTTTTCACTGGTAAAATTAACGATGCCATAACTCAGAAGTGGGCAATTCCACTGCCCGAGGTCCTATATCCTGTAAGTTTTAGATGCGTCAATGGTTCAACACACTAGTATTAACTATGTACATGATTAAGAGGATTCTGGAGAAATCAGCTGCATACTGCACAAATTCAGCCATTTTATTCAGGTTTATATTAGTTTATACAATAATTTTATATATCAGTTATAAAATTAAAATTATATATTAATTATATATATATATATATATATATATATATATATATATATATATATATATATATATATATATATATATATTATATTATATTGTGAAACAGAAAATGTGGTCTGTTGTGGCTGCAAGAATCATTATTAGCTCCACCTCATGTTAACACTGGTGGGGGTGAGGATACAAAAATTATATAGATATATTATTTATCTAAAGCCTTCAGAGTTTTATTCTTTTTTTTTTCTTCCAAAAAAGTAAACACTAGACAGAAATAAACTTCAAAGAAAATTTTATGTCTCTTCAGACTGGCCTTTTTCCTTGAAAGTTTTATGAATAAATCAAAAATCCAGCACACATTGTAAAGAACATAGAATCTATTCAGCAATATGCAAAATTAAAACTATACATAAATAGAAAAACATGAGGATGTATACTTTCAAAAACAATCTATTTACAAATATGTTTTGGCTCCTATGATCAGAGGGTCTAGCACCTAAAAAGTATAAAGAAATTTTGTGAGCTGGAAAAATAGATATACAAAACATGAGGAAAATATTCTGGATATTTTACTGCAGAGAACTTATTGGCAATGACACATTAGCATAAGAAAAAGTTACAAGTAATGGCATCACAACTGGCTATGAGCAATGTTAATCAATATTTCCTCACACTTCATTCCTCAAATTTTGTGATAAACATCGATTTTACAAGACCTGTCAGATTTTGTCAATTCACAGTGTGTTTCCTCGCAATGACTCAAAGTACTGCCAAGCTTTGATGACTCAAAGTTGCAGGGCATGCAAACCTGTGGAGGCTCCTACTGCTGCACAGTAGATAATACATCACCACTGAGACTCTCTCAGCAGCTGAAATCTTCCTGTAAAGATATCCCCTAAGTAATTTTGACCAAATAAATCACTGTCAAATAAATTATAATAACGACCGTTGGTGCTCAGTTCTAGAGCTTAGGGAGCCATTTTAGGGAGCACCATGTATAAGTTAACTATCACCTCTAAAACAAGGCAAATAACAGAAAAAAAGACACTAAATATGTCAGGACTGAACAGGTGTTTCTCCATAACGTCTCATTGAAACAATGGTCAACATTATAAAAGTTGAACTGTAAGCTTGATAATAAGATATAACTAAACTGAAGTCTCTTATGTTTGTTTAGAGATAGAAATAGTGGACATACTCACCTGAGTGGGATCCAGTTAGAGAGCTAAGCAGTCGGCTATTATCATTTGCTCCATCAAACAGCTCCACTGAGTCATTTGTTGCCGTCTGGAAAACAGCAAACTGACCGAAGACCACTAAAAAATAACAGTGGAAAAAAATGAACGAGAAAAATAAAACTGTCTTAGTACCTTTATCGGTATAACTTTCAGTATCCATATTCAGTGTAACTAAAACATACTTACCAAACTGTGGGGAAACAGTAATGTAATAGGAACACATCTGCCTTGCAGTGTAGTTTAAAGGATAATTTGGGGACAAAACAACACCCTCTGAACCACCATAGTGTCCTCCACATGGAGCTGCCAAAAAGAAGAGAAATATTTCAGAAGTTTCTACTTTAAAGTTGTTAAACTGGGCCAAGTCACATACGTACTGTAATGTTACTAATTTCTGATGGATTAATGAGTAAGAACTGCAAGCACGTAAAACACAACCATATTTATGTCTCCTGCTTAATCTTGATGCAAAAATCTTTTTCAGACCCAAAAAGGACTAAGTAAACACTGTCAGGATGAACCTCTGTCATATATTATGTAGATTAATGTTTTTTGTGTTTTTTTATGTTTTTTGTAGGTCAAGTATGTGACTAGGTGCCTTTAAACAATTCACAGGTTTCAAACCACTCTGAAATAATATGAAAAAATATGATTATCCCCTTATTAGGGTATTCGACAAAAAGTAGACTTGTCCACGTAATTAGGCTGAGTCGACTCGCATATGGGTAACTCGAATGACTAATTTGCAGCAAAGTCACTAAGGAGTTGTTTATAAGCATCAAGTGATCACAGCTAACAATGATCAAGTTTTAATGTAGGTCTTTCGACCTAGAGGGAGCAACAACAAAACTAAAAACCTACTTCAAAACTCAGTATTGACTTTTGTCCAACCAAAGACTATTTATATTAGTATTTATTTTCTTGGCAATACAGACAAAAAATAGGATTCAAGTTTTTCTTGCTAATTTCTTTTCTGATTCTGCAAATTTAATACATTTCTGCCTATATTTCAACATTGTCTTAATTCTGCTCCCTTTCTGGGCAGGCATTAAGCTTTGCTAAGTTTGCTGCAAATTCATAACATTCAGCTTGCTTCTGCTATTTTTCAACAAAGAAATTAAGCTTAAGCTTCATATTTTCTTCTATTTCATATCATCTCCGCAGTTTCTGTAGTTTTTGGCTTACAGTTTAGCGCACAGCATTCTCACACCTATTTCGTGGGAACAGCAATATTTCTAGTTTCCATCGCCAGACCAGCAGGTTTAATCAGATAGTTAAAAGTGAAAAAGAAACACCCCTACTGTATCTCATTACTGATACAGTGCAAAACTTTTAACATTTAAATGTGGCAGTAATTAGCCGTTCGCTTTGCTCAAACTGTCCTTTTTCTCTGTGGCTTATATCTATGAACACAGAGCTACATGAATGTGATCACAATGTTAACAAGAAACAAAGCTTGGTTAATAGTAATGGGCACAAACATAATTTAAGATTAAATTATATGAATGAGAGCTGTCTAAAAACAGCAGATGTATAACAAAATTTGGAAAACCTTGTGTATCAACACTATCTGAGTTGTAACATGGTCTTGTGATGCTTACCAATTCAAATGGGGTTTCCTGGTTGAGTTAGCTGCTGGATTTTGTTTTTGTTTAATTGGAATAGCTAAAAAAAAATCCTATGAAAACTTGAAACTTAAAAGATGTTTTTTGTGTTTTGTTAATCGAGCAAAGATTTTAAAATATCTAGATCAAACTATATTTGAGTGAAAGTTTGCATAGTTACCCACAAAGACATGTTTGCACCAGTTAAAAACCCAAGTTAATTTTAGCTCAAAAACCTAATTCAAAAATTGAAAGATTTTTACAGTTCTATGTCCATGTGTGAGATGTAGATAACTTTCTTATTATTTGTTTACCTCTTGTGAATTTGGTGTGAAACCAAATCATCCAAATTTACAAAATGTGCCATCGCTTAAAAAAATAGACTGAAGATTGTTTTTAAAATAAGAAATCTAATGGCACTCTTTGAATATAACAACAGACAACATAGTTCTGGCAGATTAAAACTTAATAAATTACTTTACAACAAAATCACACTGCATTTATTTATTTTTACAACACACTTTTCTGAAGAATATGTTTTTTTTTGTTTTTTTTTTTCAAAAAAAAAAAAAAAAAAACAGGACACACAGTAACTGTCATGATCTGGCCTGTTTGCTCCTCCCTAATTAGTAATTCCTTTCACCTGTCGTTTTTCCCTCCCTGCCTCATTATAATTCATTCCTCTCACCTGTTTCCTCTAGTTTATATTCAGTTCAACCTGAGCATTCAGTGCCAGATCATTGCTTGTCTTTCTGTCAGTCTTTCTGTTCAGTTTTATTTGGTTCATGTCCTGGATCCTTGCTGCCAGTGGAAAGAGGGTTTTAGTGTTTGTCTCGTCTCCTGTCCACTGTTCCTCCCCCGCAGAGTCCTCTGGGTTTTTGGCTCATTATGTGGGGAGGTTCAGTTTTTATCAAAGTAAGCCTGGCTCCAGGGAGGAGACCAGTTTAAAGTCCTGCTTCAAGTTCCGGTTCCTACGTCTCGGCTACCCTCTTCCACTGTGCCTGCCTGTCTGCACCTGATCATGTCTTCTCCTGTGCGTGACCACCTGGTCATGCTTCTGGTCCCAGTCTGACTCTGAACCCTCCTGGAAACCTGTGGATACCTGGAAGTCTGGATCCTGCCACCTGTTCCTGTTCCTGCCTGATCTGGATCCTGCCTGTTTCTGTCTGTTCCTGTCTGTTCTGGATCCCTCACCAGGATCAGCTTCCAGCATAACCTCTCGGACTGCAGCACTGGGGACACTCGTGGTCTGGACTGTTAAACCAGGTAAATGACCGACCCAGATAATCATATATCAGTTTATCGTGGTCACTTACCTGTGTTTCCTCCCTAGAGTGTCGGAGATTGGGTGCCCCGCCCCCCCGCCTGCAGTGTCCGCGAGCCACAGCTCCGCTTCAGTTTTTGTTTTATTTAATAAACATTTGAACTTTCCTACTGACTGTCTCTCCTTGAATACTGGGTCCATCTGTCCGCAATTCATGACAGTAACTGCCTACATAAACCTTTGGGGCCAGAGCTCAAAAAACAGCATGTGATTTTCTTTATTACTTTAATGTAGTTTCAAAAATCCAATAAACACATACACAAACTGCAAGAACTATGAGAAACAGGCCTTACTATGACTCAATTCCTCTCTGCAATCCCCAAGAGAGCAAGAACTCTTGCCGATGAAAAGTATGTGGGTGTGTGCACACTTACACTCTTAATAAGGCAAAGGTCACTGACATTTATGTAAGTGTCTGCGAAAGCGTGTGCACAAAACAGCTGCAAGAAGCTCATCGGTCAATGTCATCTCTCCCAATACACACAATATACTCTCTCCATGTTTTTTTTTATTCCTCCTTTTCTCACCCTTTCTGGCCTGTACTCATCCTGTCTTGTTGCGGTTGCTACGGTGTTAACCTCTACAGGTCAGATCCATTATCCACCAACGTCATTAGCTTTGACCCTTAACAGATTTTAATTATCATCGCCACTGTACATGTTGAAAATGTGAGGGTGTATGAGTTCAAAGTTTGATCATTCTCTAAGAGACACCAGACAACACTTTGTGATTTAATCTGCAGCCAATGTCATGGGGTCTGGCTGTAGAGCTGAGATGTGAGGATGTGATATTTTTGTACAGGATCATAAAGCTTAAATGCTACCAGTTATTAGCTGGTAACATTCCTTTAAACACACCCTTGAGGGTTACTTTTTAAAGAAAAGACATCAGCAAATTTGGTCTTGTGAAGACTGTGCATGAGAGGCTAAAAAAGTACACCAGAGAGCCCTTAAGCATTTTCACTTTTCACTGTAGAGCATTGGTGAGGCCCAAAGGACTTTTCTGTAATATGTGCCAATGTCTACGTGAAGTGAACACATTAAGATTAGTTGCATTATGTTAGCCCAGGCTTGCTTGTTAAAACTTCTTTGTATGGTCAAGTAAAAATCCTTCCACGCTTCTGGTTTCAGTTCTTTTATACCCATCCAGTGATATCACTGTGCTCCATTTCTGCCACTTTATATTTTCTTATCTTTTCCTAAAGCTTCATAGTAGCTTTAGTAGCCAAACATCTTAAAAGCATGACAAGTAGTAAGTGCTTTTTCTCTTACCCCTTCTCCAGATCTAAGTGTGTGACAATGATTTATATTTTGGATTGATTTTTTCCTTTAATTTTTAGACCCTTTAGTTCTATGGGTCATGTCTTCATCTAACTAAAATCCCCCAGTGGTGCTGCTCTAGACTTGGGTATCAGCTCTATCAGAAGCCTCTGTACACATTGCTTTGATCACTTTCATCCTCTCCCACAGACACACTCAAATAAATGAAAAAAGCCATCAAGTCAGTCTGCTTCTCTCATACATTCATTTGCTTTGATCATCCACACGTACACAAAACTTCAGTAGTCCTAACTCCCGCTTCCAATTTATTTCATTTCAATTTCTATTGACTAACATACATGTGTATAAAAGTATTAAAAGAAGACTTAAAGCTCAGGAAAATATAGTTTTTAACTGTCCAATCTTTTAAACATTAAGTTGTAGTATTTTAAACCTTATAATTACAACATTTCATTCTTTTTCCAATGGATGATCCAACTTACAATTTTGCATTGGCTGTTAGTGGTACATATACACAAGATTAACAAGTAAAATTTTTGTCTGAGAGGATGTACATTTTGTTATAGGTATTTGACACAAATATTTGACCATTGAGGTAAGGGGTCAATCCACTTTTTCTTTATTCAACTGTATGGTCCCAGACTTCTCATCCCAACTGCTCATATTTGACTGTAAAAGCTCTCCAGTGTTTGATGAAGGTCATTGTCTTAAGACAATATCAAAACCCCAAATCAAAGACGTCATTGCGGAGTTCATAACCCAAACATCTATCTAACCACAGCTATGGCTTGAGATCCTGTTCACTAACATCACAAACAAAATCTGCAGCAATAACCCTAATTGTATTCAAACTGCTTACTATGAGCTTGATGCAATATCGAGCAGGTCTGAGAGACACTCAGCCTCTAAAAACAAGTCATATTCTTTTTTTTAGGGAAGAGGAGTATTCTTTAAAACAACTCATCATTCAGTCTACACACTAATTGTAGTGTCATACTGTAAACTATCAACTGTATATCCACAGCAAGAACTAATGAACACTATTTTATATTTTAAACTTGGAATATCTGCTTCTAAATATCACCCCTCTCCCAA